GGGGGGGTCATAGACTCAGGAGCTCGTCTGCGGCAGTGAGGCCCTCAGAGGCACATCACGTAGTTCTGAGTATTCGGGGACCCTCCAGAGCTCCCTCTAAGACTCATCTCGAATTTAGTCCTCTGGTCCCCGTGAATGTGGTTAGGCCTCGTTTTCGATCACGTGCAGATCTTCCCAGTCTGACTGCAGCCCACTCCATTACTGCGGAGGGGACTGAGATCCCCAACAGCAACTTCAAACACAATCACTTCTACTTCCTTTGAAGCTGTCAGTTTTTTGCTTCATGTATTTTCAAACAATTTTAGATGCATGAACATTCACAAATGTTTTGTCCTTGCAGTGAGCTGACCCTCTGGTCACTGTGTTAATGTTTCAAATCCACTTGGTCTGTTATTAATACAGGTAGCTCTTTTTGACTAGTGTTGCCATGGTATGTTTTTCCATTTTACTTTAAATCTATTGGTATCTTTCTATTTGAATTGTACAAGGGTACTTGAAAAAGTTCATGGAAAATGAAAAGAAAAGATAAAAATAATGATGTATTTTCCCAGCGTAAGCACCGTCAAGTCTAAGACACTTTTTAAGTGGTAATATCAACCATTCCGTTCACCCCTAAAGAACTGAGAGCCCTAGGTCAAAGAAGAAACAAATTAAATTAGAGAATATTTTCAACTGAATGAAAATGCAACATAAAAAACATTGGGATGACATTTAACAGTGGTTAGAGCTTAACTTAAATCACTATTCCTACTAGGGAAGTCTCAAATCAATGACCTCAACTTTCTACCTCAAAAAACCAGGAAAATAGTAAATGAAATGGACAATGAATTGAAAACACGACACACAAAAGGAGTAAATTAGTTATGGGATTCGTCCACATTAAGAACTCTGGTCTCTGAGGGATACCGGTGAAGATAAGAACAAGACACAGGCCGAGCGCACGGATCTGCAAGTACATTCGCAATACGTTATTTGCAGCCAACAACTTGAGAAATTTGCAAACCTCAGTAATAAGACAATGACGCAATTAAATGAAAGATCTAAAGACCGGTTTACCAAAGAAGATACACAAATGGCAAATAAACACATAAAAAAAAAAACGTTCATGGGGGCCAGCAGGTGGCATGGTGGTTAAGAGCGCTGAACTCTCACATGGCTGACTTTGGTTCAAGTCCTGGACCTGGCAGCTTTCTCTCTCCCTCCCTCCCTCCCCTCTCCCTCTCTCTCTCTTTCTCCCTCCCTCCTTCTCTCTCCCCCTCCCTCTCTGGTCAAATTAAAATGAGCAAATAAATAAATGAAGTTAAATAAAAAATAATTCTTTAAAAACATCCTCATCATCATTAGTCATTAGGAAATGCCATTAAAACCACAGTGCCATAGGCTCACCCTACAGGAATGGCCACTCCCAGGGCCTGCAGGACGCGGGGCCTGGAGCTGAGCTGCAGTGGGTACACGGGGCAGCCGTTGGGGAAGTTCCGCAGTTTCCCAGCAAGTGCAAAGGTGTCTGTCGCCATCCTACGACTAGGTACTTGCACCACAAGAAGTCTATGTCCACCTAAAGAAACGCTCACGGGAGTTTTACCTGGAGCAGCCCCAGACTGAAAGCGCACGCGGCTGTACCTCGTTGGCTGACGAGACACACAAGCAGTGGCATTCCCACATAACCGGGTGCCTCGGCCGCACAGCGGTGCCCCTGGTGTCTGCCACACACGGAAAATTCAGAACGATTATACCGAGTAAATTGAGCCAGACCAAAACCAGATGTATGTCTGATTCCATTCTCAAAACGTCCCCCAATTTCTGGGTTTTTTGGAGGTTTTTGCTATAGGGAGCATGCGCTCGCCAGACAGACACAGACAGACAGAGAGACAGAAAGCGAGAAATCACCCCCCCAGGGGGGATGGCCTCGCCGCGATCCCTTCTCCTCCATTCTCCTCTCGGGATCTTGGGCACACACGCACACGCGCCCGGCGTGAGTTTAAGTCACCGGGTGCAGAACTCGAACCGCAGTCGACTACGTGGGAGTCTAGCGACATAGCCATTTCGCTAACTGCTACCCCCCCCCAATTTCTGATGATAACATCTCAGTGGTTGCCTGGGGCTGGGAGAGACAGAGCACTGGGGGCAGGAGGTGACAGGCGTACCCAGCACCCACACAGAAAAAACGCCCGCTGTGTCCCCGCTATCTCAGTCAAACATTCCAACAACACGCGGCCAGGGCAGAAGGGGTTCAAAGCCGGCAGCCGGGGCAGCCCCAGGACGCACATGCACCTCGCAGGTCCTGGCCGGTGAGAGGCACTCAGGGAGAAGCGCCAAAGGCCATGGGAACTCTGTCCAGGCGAGGACAAAAACCAAAGTGACGGTTTTTGTCTCCTGGTGGAGATCGAGTGCAGGAGCCCAGGAGGAGGTCAGCAGGCCAGTGCTTCCCGGATGGCAGCTGCACAAAGGGGGCTGTTCAACATAAGGATGCGAGCACCACGCAAAAATCATCGTGTACCTCCCTCGTCTTGTGTAGTCAAGACAGAGAAAGAAACAGCAAAATACCCGAAGCTTCCAGTCCCAGCTGCTACAAGGCACCTGCGAAGCACTCCAGGGCAAGGGTGGCGGGGCGGCCGGAACCACAAGGCAATCCCGCCTCTCCATTCTCCACTTCGGGTTTTGGGCACGCACGCAGAATGTCTCTCAAGTCACCAGATCAGGACTTGAACCAGGCGCCCAGCCATGAGGGATCAAGTCCCGTAATGGTCACGCCACTGGCTGGCCCCAGCTTACAGATAATGCTGTACCAGTGGCCGTCTATAAAGGCTGTTACCAGAGACTTGAGAAGGACTGGGCTCCTTTAACTTAGCCTCCAAGCCATAACTCCTCCTAATCACAACCACCTCCAGGAAGGGCAGCCCCACCAAGCAGTGCTCCAACGACTGTCCTCGCCGGGCCGAGGCTTCGCATCCCAGCCGCGTGCTCAGGGGCTGCGGTCAGGATGCTGGTGTGCAGGCACAGAGAGAAGGGAGACTGAAACCCCACTGTGTCTCCTCGCCCAGGCGCAGGCCAGCACATGGCTCTAAATCACGTAGGAAGAAGCACCATCTGGAGGCCAGATTTATCACATTTAAGGTTGAGTATTTCTCAAAGGGAAATCCAGGTAAGGCACACAAACAACCGACACTGGGAGAGCCTCTTTTTATTTCAGGACTGACTGGGATACACCCATACACCCATATAAACTGAGAAAAAACAGGATCTAGATTTATGGGGGCTTATATGGTATTTTCATAGACATTAGTCTTATCCACATAACAAACAGATATTGCTATTATTATCCTTGATTTATTGATAGTGAGAACAAGCTCAGAAAGGTTAAGTGACTTGCTCAGCCTTAAAGCTTGTGTAGTGAGGTGGAACTGACATTAAACCTAGGTCTTCCGATTCAGAAATCTACGTTCTCCCCATTAACCACCATCACGGATTGAACCAGGATGCAAATGGACCCTTCATGGAACATCTCACGGAAAGCGCCTGACAGTTCTCTGACAGTCAGCAATCTCCATGGCATGGATCATCAACCTTTGGAAGGACCAGTAACAAGGCTAGTACCTGGTATTTCAAGATTCTAAATAATTACCTACTGCTGAAAGTTTAATTAGAGCAACAGAATAAAGCTGCAGCTTTCATGGAAACTGTAAAGATTTACCTGAATGAAAAGGGAACTGCTGCTTGGCTTCACCCGTGTGTGCGTCCCAAATAATTGTGGTCTGAGAGCAGAGGAAAAGAAAAAAACGGTGATGAAGCTACAAAGACACCCACAGATACATAACCTAGACGGCAGCTCCGCGAACGCCACGTACATGTCAGAGTGAGCACACTGGGGGGACCTGAGGAGTGGAGGGCGACGCTCACGTCAGCCTCCCGGCGTTCACCAGCCTGGAAGGTAAAGGACGCTGGGAAGACCCTGCATCTCTCCAAGCCTCATCAAGCACCAGTTCGGCTACTAACAGCCTGGTTCTAGGGTTTCCCGAGTCGCTCCCGAGAGAAACTACAAACTTAAGAAAGGACACAGCAAGTGCGGGAGACCTGACATTCGTCTTGGCTCAAATTCAGCAAAAGTGAGGGGGTCATGAGGATAAAGGGTTTTGATGCATAGATTCGGATTAGCTGATAGGAAATCTAAGAAACAATTTCTATTATCATCATAAATTCCTACTTAATCGTATCAAATGTGAATGTTTTATTTGTATAAATAGCAGAGAAATGAAAATATTACTTTCAATTACGCTCAGGAATACATTAACCTTTACAGAATTTTAAATTTGGTTTAATGTTCTTTTTTTACCTTATCTACTCCAGCACTTAAGATGAAATTTCCTTTCTTATTCCACTTTAATGCAAATATAGGGCCTTTGTGTTGCCCTAACGTGCTAGCAAGGTTACCTAAAATTCAAAACGAAACACTGAAATCACTTCAAATGTTATAACGTAGGTCAACACAAAGTAAAACAGAAAATGCTTCACTTACCGTCTTTGGTCCATATTCTGGCAAATCCATCATACGAACCAGTGGCTAGAAGTGTACCTTCACTCTGTCAAATGAACACATTTGCTTTATTACACAATCCAGAAAGGGCACTTAATTGTTATTTAACTATTTCATGTTTAAAGTCTAGGTAGAGCAGACCCTTGACATTCTGTATTTCACAATCTCCATTTCTCCCACTTGTGAGCGCACCCCAAGGCCCTGCACCCGCTCAGGCTGTGGGCCAGCCCTCCGTCTCCATGCCAGGCTCAGAGCGGGTCTCGACAGCGACTGCCGCTGCTCTGGAGCAGGGTCTCCGGCGCCACCTGCAGGCGTGCCGAAGGTCTCTCGTAACTCTGGCAGATGCACCAGAGACGGAGGTGGGGAAGCACACCGGGAGGAACATCCAGTTCTGGTTTGGTAGAGGCCAGAGAGGAGCATCTTCCACATCATGTCCTTCTTTTTTGTTTTTTTGGGGAGGTTTTTGCTACAGGGTGCATGAGCTCGCCAGAAAGACAGAGAGAGACATAGAGACAGAAAGCGAGAAATCAACCCCCCCAGGGGCATGGCCACGCTGCAATCCCTTCTCCCCCATTCTCCTCTTGGGATCTTGGGCACGCACACGCGCACAGTGTGAGTTTAAGCTACCGGGTCTGGGACTCGAACCACAGTCGACTACATGGGAATTCAGCGACACAGTCATTACGCTAACTGCTGGTCCCCTAATTACAAGTTTTCATATGACACGCCCTCTAAATCCTTTACTCCTTAAACAAAAAGTGGGTACATGTGAGCTAAATACCATGACTGCTTCAAACACCAGGTGTTGGACACTGAGGGTTTCTTTGGTCACTCCTTCCCAGTAACAGGAATGAGCTGGCTTCGTAACTCGTGCAGTGGGAATAGCTGCCTAGGACTACTTCACCATAAAGAAAAATCATGTAAATTTTTCTAAAGTTTCACAGGTTGAGTACGGCCTATCTGAAATGCTTGGGACCGGAGTGTTTGAGAGTGCACAAGGCGGCATGTAAATAAGAAAAAGCAGCAGAGTGAAGAGTAAGGACAATTTAATACATATTAAAAATAAGATAACCACAGACAGCAAGTGGCATACTAGTCAAGGTACTGGACTCCCATGTGGTTGACCACAGTTCAAGTCCTGAACCCAGAGGCCTGGATGCCCAAAACCCAGAAGAGAATGGAGAAGGGATCGAGGGTCATCTCCCCCGCCTCCCCGGGGGAGGTTTCTCACTTTCTGTGTCTCTGGCAAGCACATGCCCCATATACTAAAAATCTGAAAAAATAGCCAAAAAGCCAATGGAGAGGTGCATGTCGTATTTGACTCTGAAGATGAACACGTGCACACCTTTTAAATGCTGTATGTATGCGCAACCACTAAGAGAAGAGCGATGGGGCAAAGGTTCCCCGTGGGGGGTGCTTTCTCGTTGTTCCCTCCTCGACCCCGGCGATCACACATACCCCTCAGCAATTACCAAACAAAGCACAGTCCACACCCCACAGAGACAGACATCAATAAGAAATGCCCATGGGAGAAAAGAACGTTTCGGTTTTTTTAAGGAGTTTGAAGTATGTATTTGCATATACCTAATGAAACATCTTAGAAATGGGACCTGACTCTGGGGACCAGCAGGTGGTGTGGTGGTTAAGGTGCTGGACACTCCCATATGGCCGACCAGGGTTCGAGTCCTGAATCTGGTGGCTTGCTTTCTCACTTCCTCTCTCTCTCTCACCCTCTGTCTCTCTCTGATCAAACTAAAAAATAAATGAATGAATAAATAAAAAATTATTTAAAAAAAAAAAGAAATGGGACCTGACTCTAAACATGAAACTCACCTAAAATGCACTTAAATTCCATAGACTTCACACACACGCCTAAGCTAGCCTCACATAACACCCTGTGCTGCAGTCTTTTAAAGGGGACCCATTAGCTGACGTCATCAGGTACGGCACTGCCACTTGTGACATCATGGCGCTCAAACATGAGCATTTCCGGACTAAGCAGGAACCTGCATGCACTTGCTGTGGCTTGCCTTGACGCTGGGCGTGATGGAAGGGCAGACCTGAGTTGTTTATAAACTGCATCACACAGAACCTGTAAACACCAGTGAAGGCGGCAGGTAAAATCCAGACTGACTTGGCACCTTCCTCACGCTTTTGGTGAGGGCGTGAGAAGCAGGTCACCCGTTCTAGCCTTCAAGGCACGTAAGCTGTACAGGTAAGTGACAAACGCTGGCTCTGAGAACTGAACACGCAGTTCTGCAAGGACCAAGAAACTCCTTAGGGCTCTACTTACGGAGAAGTAGCCATGTGGAAGCCCAGAGCAGCTTTAAGATTCTGCACAGTGTCAAGATTCTTTAAACTACTGGCTCCCAAATGCTTCAGTTCACGGCCCACTCAACCAGGGGAAGAATTACTTCAGAAACCAGACGTCACACGGGCCTTGCTGTAGCCATCACACAGTTGTTAACTGCAGATGGTGTTTCCCCTTGCAGGTGATCATTTGAGTTCAGTGAGCATTACACATTTGAAACGCCCCCACTTTTCAAAACTAGCTTGCAGAATTATGAAGCTCCATCAACAAACATTTAATAGCGCCCCTTTTCAGTGTAAAGGATAAATATCATTAAATAAGCATGTCACTGGGCCAGGCAGGGTAAGAGAGCTGTAAGGCCTTTGACCCGAGATAAGACCAGGGTCCACGTTAAGAAGATCCTCTTTATCCCTGCTCCTACGACTAACTGATACTGCAGCGCACTACTAAAACCCCTTTGCAGTTCTGGGATTATCAATGCTTTCCAGGGAGGAGGGGACACTGCTGAAAATTTTAGAAGAGAACGTTAATAAGACCCTGCTATGAGTTCTAGAAGAATTCCACAGAAACTAAGAAATTTAGCTAAAATAATCATTTTAAAAGATAGTCTCCTTCTTTGGAATGAGATTTGGAAAATCCTTTGGGAAAACACACAACGAAGCTGCTGAACAGAGGCCAGAGGAGGGAAAGATGTCCACTTGCAAGGACGGACAGCAGGTTCTAGTTTATTGAGAGAGAGGCTGAGAGGTTTCTTTCCATGGGCAAGAGGGCGTGCACAAGGAAGGGATGTACCTGAAACTAAAACTGTGAAGACTTTATGAGCAAAATCAAGCTTTCGGGTAGGTCTGACAGAGAGTCAAGTTCTCCTGACGCTGGAGAATCACCCACAGAACCAGGGAAGTACGAGAGTATCACAGGAGGGGTGAACGTGGGAGTAGACGTGGTTGCCAAGGAATCAGCAATCAGCGTAACGAGCAAACTACGGGGTTTTGCTACTTACAGTCTTTTACCCGCACCCCACCCCATAATGCTGCTGCTAAGGGTTAGTACGCTGCCTAATACGAGGCTAAGGGCTTTCCTATGACTTCAGTATGCTGGTGGGGTCTCCGTGTGTGTGTGAGTGTGTGTGTGTGAGAGAGAGAGAGAGAGAGAGAGACAGAGTGAGGAGGAGGAGGAGAAAGTGCCCGGTACAGGGGACGGTCACACTGCAATCCCTTCTCCAGTTCTCCCCCTCCAGGATTTGGGGCGTGTGTGCACACACATGCCATGGTACTTCTTATGTTACCAGGTCTGGGGCTCGAACCACGGTGTGAGTCATGTGAGATCTGACTGCCTTGACCACCAGACCACAGAACCAGCCTCCATCTTCACATTTCTACCTGACAAGTAAGGGAGATGAAGCAGAACGGTTGAGTGACAGTTATACGAGGCTGCACTATTTGATAAACTGAAAAGCTCCAAGTGGAGACGTGCCCTGCCTACTCCAGAGCCGGTCTTTGTCTGGAATACACACATGGGGGTGGGGAGTCCCAGATGGTCGTTATTGGTTAGCAAAATTCAAACTATCTGGAGAAACAGAAAACCCGCCACCGGTCTGAGGCTCTGCGAAGCGTATCAGTAAATGCACCATCGGGAACCAGGAAGTGACACCCACGTTCCAGTCTAGAGAGGTGACGTCCTTGTTGCTGGGGACGTCCTGCCCCCCTTCTCGTATGCAGTGTCTGAGCACCAGCTGGGTAGAGCCGCTGGTGCTGTTCTCACTGAGGTTCCATATTCTTGCTGTCGAGTCGCCAGACCTACGAGGTACACAACGTGTCTTAAATCTCATGACATTCTCAAGAGTCTCAGAACCAAAGCAACATTCATACTCTCTTATCAATAATGCAAGTAAAAACTAGATCATCAGAAATGTCTACTTCCAGTATTTTCTCCATTCTACATTCTGGGTCCCCAACTATTCTTTAAAGTTTAAGAAAGTCTTCCAAAAGTATTTCAGTAACCAAGGCAACAACAGAAACCTAAAAACGTAAATGAAATATTTATAAAATGTGTAAAAGCTCCATATTTTAAGTGTCTTTAGTTACCACATTGAGAAACGTACCCCGAAGCCAGGAGATCACTAACGGGGTTCCAGGCACAAATGAAAACTTCAGACTCATGGCCCCGTAACACCACTGCCTTACTGGGAGGGATTTCGACATCGCCGTCCACCTCCATCATATCAGTGTGATTATCTGCATCGGGAGACACGAGCGAGAAACCCCAAGTAGGTACGAGTACGACGCCCGGACGGCAAAAGCTTAACCAACATATGCCTTCTTCCACAATATCGGGTGAGCTTCGTGTGGGGCCACGTCAGGTCACGCTGACCGTGTCTATATGGTCTTTATCACACCAAATAAACCCGTCTTTAGTTACTACGACCATACTATTTAAAAAAGTGTCTAAGTATGTCTGGGGAGGATGGGAATCGCAAACGCGGGGCCTAGATCCGATTGAGAGGGCGGCACGGTGTGAACTGGGGACGTGTGTGCTGGTACTCCTCTGCGCTGCTGCCAGTAGGGGCTGCTGGTCTCACTCGAATGGCCTGGACCTGCCCTTTATGGAGACTGCGCCTGTTACTAACTAGGGCTGCAAAATCCAGAAATCGAAGGCAGATGAAAAATTTCATTTAGCATTAAAAAAGAAGATTCTACATATATCTGAAGGGAAACAAAGTCAACGGGAGCATCTAGCTTCGAGAACTTTGCAACGACAAATGCAGACTGCTGTGTTGGTTAGGGTAAGCTGGGACCAAGCTGGGACACAGGAAGTCGGGGCCGTTCTCTCCACCTAGAAGGGAGGGCGTCCGGCAAAGCGGCCCGGCCCACTCCTCGGAGTGTAGAGGGCTTGCATCTCGGCTCACTCGCTATGCTGTGCGCGCCGTTCTCCTCCCCATTGGCTGTGTTGTCTCCATTTTTCGCAGACCCTTGCTGGGTGGCAGCGGCGGCGGTGGCGGCGGCTGGGGCCTGCTGAGCCAGCTTGTCCCGGTAAGCTTGCTGTCGGGTCTGCACAACGTCAGGCATCACAGCGTCGATCAGGGACAGAGACTCTATGGGCCGACCGTCGAACAAGGTGCCATCCTGCAAGTGGGAAATCGCGAGACGCAAAACCAGAGGTCGCGTTTAGGGTTACTTATAACACAGATCAAGAGCAGAAACAGAAATCTTCATCCCAACAAAACCCATGTGGGTGATTTTCTGAGTTCATCTAAGAGGGAAGAGGCAGGGAGAAGGAAGGAGAGAGGACAAGAGGCAACTGCAATCAGCCCCTTAAACATCCACTCCCTGGGTGACACTCTTGCTAAACCAGCACAGACAGTGCTGAAGACACTGCTGAAATCTGAAACGGACAGTAAACGGAGGATCGGGTAAGAGCAAGGTTTACTAATTATATTCCAAATTCTGTAGGTCAGAAAAAACAACCGATATAGAATAAGAGTTCATACAATGATGAAGGAGAGCAAGTCAAGCGACAGTGAATACATTTTTAAAAACACTTTCCAAATATTGATGTTTGGCTCAAAGGTGTCTTGTAATTTTATTAAAATATTAAGGCAGAAACACATTTCAGAAAGAATGCCACACAATCATATCTCGTCTGACTAATGGTGAAATTCAAGCACAGTAAGGTTCAAAAATCCTTTAACGTTACTGGGTCATCAGTCAAATGACGCAGTTTTGCAACACGGAAAACTACATCACGACTTCCCAGCAACCTAACACAAAGCCAGGCGACAGCAGCCGAGATCGAGCTCAGCACGGCCAGGGATGACCCAAGGAGCACAGTGCAGCGTCATCTGGCAGCCTGTTAGAGACGCAGATTCGAACCTGCAGAATCGGGCCCGGGCGCAAGGCCACAGCCAGTGCTTGCAGACTCTCGGGGCACATCTGTGCACTGAACCTGCGAGGTTCAGTCGTATCTCACAGGCTCGCACTCCAATCTTACGGAGCTGCTAAAATGTTCAACATCCCACTTACTGATATCAGAAAGTTCGTGATTCATAAAAAGCCATTTCGTGAGCACAGCAGAGAGAGAGACAGAGAGCGAGCTGGAAAAAGACACAAACGAGTAGGAAGCCCGGCTCACTGAAACCGGTGAGCACGGGCCAGCGGCAGTCCAGTGGGGGACAGTGTGCTCTGAGCTACAAAACAGCACGTTTTTCTCAACTGTCCATTATAATGGAATATTTGAGAAATAGAAAAATTTAAGTTTATAATTGACTAAAATTACTAAAACCAAGAGAAGTGCAAAAGTATTATTAAAGTTACACTGACTCTTTCAGCTAAGCTGAGATTGAACCTGTGGCCAGCTGCAGTACCCACTACCTTTGCAATGAAGCACTGTCGGGGAAGGAAAGAGTTAAAGTTGGTGAGAACACAGTCACAGAGGTGAGGAAACTCGAAAACACTACGGTCAACTTACGTATTCCATAAATGAAATAAATATTCATACAAAAATCATTTTCAAGATAATCATTCTACAAACTAATTAAAAAAAAACTTGCAAGGGGGGACATGTCCATCTCTGAAATGAAAACAAGGGACAGTCCCACATGCCGCGAGTCCTTGTTGCGCACGAACACTGAGGCCAAACGAGCGGCTGGCCAGCTTC